CAATAGTTATTTTATCTGATACAAATCTCAAGCCAACTAAGTAGGATTACGTTACTGATAACGTTCGGATTAAAAGGATGCCGTAACCCAAGCCTACGTAACTAATTTTCAGCAACCAAGGAAGACTTCACGTGAAATAGAAGACATCGTTTTCATAATTCATAAGTGTATCTTACCAATATATTGGTGATATTTTTTATTACATTAAATTGTGCGCTCAATAATTTGCATGTACTCAAATAATTATATCAATTTCTTGCCAGTTTTCTTGAATACTAAGTATAAATTCCACAACTTATTAGTAATTTTTAAAGATCCCATTTCACAACTTATTTTAAATTTCACGTATACGAATAAAAGTAGAGGAAAGGAAAATATAATTGTGTTTCAATTTTTACAGCTTCCATCGAAAATGGCACATAACATCGAAATCTGTCTTCCATCAAACTGCATCATATTTACTTTTAGCTTTATTATCCATATTGAACAGTGTTTGTGTGGGAGTTATTTGTTTTTGTTTTGTGTTCGTTTTTTGTTGGTTTTTTTTTCTTTCTTTCTTTCTTTTTTCGTTTTAAACAATGGACAAAACTTCTTTCAAACATTCTTTTTCATACAAGTTGTCACAGGAACTAATCAGTCGATTTATATCGCTTCTATGGTCAGTTAAATACTCGAGCGAAACAACTCTGCATTCCATATTGTAAGGTTATTCCAATTTGTCGCCCATTATTTAAGCTCGCATAATAGTTCAATATTTCCTATGAGTTCCTGCAGATCGATACTTAGAGAACAATCTGGAGGTAGTATGGTTCTTGGGGTTATCGAAACATCTTTTATTCCTCCATATCTGGTTGGGTTTATTTTTTTACCCCGTAGTACCTTTATAAGATTAGGACTTATCTACTCTACCCTAGTAGGGGGTCGGTAATGACGTATACCAGTTATCGTGATTGCCGCGTTAGTTCTTATTTAGATTAATCTAATTGACCGCCTCACAAAGCCGTGGAGACGGCGTGTGGCTGTTAGCACAGACCTCCGGCGGAAAGGTAAAATAGTTTAATAAGTCTAAGATCTCTCTCTCTCTCTCTCTCTCTCTCTCTCTCTCTCTCTCTCTCTCTCTCTCTCTCTCTCTCTTTCTCTCTCTCTCTCTCTCTCTCTCTCTTCTCTCTCTCTCTCTCCTTTTAACACACTCTCTTCTTCTTCTTCTTCTTCTTCTTCTTCTTCTTCTTCTTCTTCTTCTTCTTCTTCTTCTTCTTCTTCTTCTTCTTCTTCTTCTTTTAACAAAGAACTGTTCTATTTGTACTCTTGCTACATCATTTTATTTTTTCTGAATTTTTTTATTTGCGCCAATGCTCAAGTTCACACTATTCTAGATAGGGTTTTGTAGTATCCAGTGACTCATAAATTAATTTTTATAGTATCGATAGATACATAGATCTCTCTCTCTCTCTCTCTCTCTCTCTCTCTCTCTCTCTCTCTCTCTCTCTCTCTCTCTCTCTCTCTCTCTCTCTCTCTCTCTCTCTCTCTCACACACACACACACACACACACACCTCTGTTCGACGAAACAAAATGTTTCTCTATAAATGTATCTTTAGATGAGTACTAAAAAGTCTTCCCTGCTAATCTGTGAAACGATCATCTATCCATTACATTAGAAAACACTTGATATTATTTTATACTTCTTTTTTATTTGATATGTTGAAGACATTACTTAAAAACCATCAGCAAAATTTATTGTCCTCTGTATACTTATTCCAATCTGAACTGGGTTGATACCCAAATTTTCTACTGAATGTAATCACCATAAAAACACATTGTTTGGCCGAGTGGTAGCTACTTGATCGCTGGTGTTTTCAAGCGAAAAGTGTAGGATGTTAACTTTATCTCCAAAGGTAGTTTGCCGTTGATATCAGCTTAGTGATGTATTAAATTATCTCTAACGAAACAATTAGGACAGAATAAGGACAAAATAAGATTGAAACTTTCATTTTAAATTGTATCAAAAAAAAAGAGACGATAACAGATCAATGATCTGAACATTAACATAAAAGGTTGGTAAAGGGAAGAGACATTTGAGACCGCCATAAAGTCAGGCATATACAGGTACAATTCATTATGCATGGAAGACGTAATATTATATCCAACCATTGAACGTGCTTAGCACACTTTCAACTATCATTTAGTGTACGCGTTGAACCAGTATTATTATGTGTTTGATATGCTGAATGGCACATTCACTAGAATATCTTCTAATGAAATGGATGATCAATAAACTGTCTGATAGTCATGCCGAGAGTGTAGCATTACACCACCGTCATCGTTGTTATCATCTTCATCGTCATCGTTATCATTGTTGGTGATATAACCATACTTATCTTTTTGGTTCTAATTGTCATCGTCCTTGTTGCCATCTTTCTCCTTCTTCTTCTCCTACTTCCCTTTCATTTCTTTTCCACCCTCGTTTTTCCTCCTCAACTTCGTATTATTATTATTCTTGCTTTAGCATAATCATTGGTTTAAATAATTGTATTGATAACAATAACTTATCCGTATTTGTAAGAGTATCAGTATTTTTATCGGTAACAGCAAAGTATGTTTATGTGCACGAGTATTAATATTGGTACTGGTAACGCTAAATTATATTTATGTGTACGAAAATCGCTATTTGTGTTGATAACGCTGAAGTATGTTTATGTGTACGAGTGTCTGTGTTTGTATTGATAGCGGTAAAGCATGTTTATGTGAGCGAGTATTAGTATTTGAATTGATAAAGGTACAATATGTCTATGTGTAAGAGTATTAGTATTTGAATTGATAAAGGTACAATATGTCTATGTGTAAAAGTATTAGTATTTGAATTGATAAAGGTACAATATGTCTATGTGTAAGAGTATTAGTATTTGAATTGATAAAGGTACAATATGTCTATGTGTAAAAGTATTAGTATTTGAATTGATAAAGGTACAATATGTCTATGTGTAAGAGTATTAGTATTTGAATTGATAAAGGTACAATATGTCTATGTGTAAGAGTATTAGTATTTGAATTGATAAAGGTACAATATGTCTATGTGTAAGAGTATTAGTATTTGAATTGATAAAGGTACAATATGTCTATGTGTAAGAGTATTAGTATTTGAATTGATAAAGGTACAATATGTCTATGTGTAAGAGTATTAGTATTTGAATTGATAAAGGTACAATATGTCTATGTGTAAGAGTATTAGTATTTGTACTGATAACGGTAAAGTATGTTTATATGCTTGAGTATCAATCAGTATTTTTACTGGAAACGGCAAAGTATGATTATGTGTACTAGTATTTGTAATAATAACAGCAAAGTATGTGTACAAGTACCAGTATTTGTACATATTGATAACAGTTAATGTTGCTTATGTGTACGAGTACCAGTATTGTTACTAGTAACGGCAAAATATGATTATGTGTATTAGTATTAGTATTGATAACAATAAAGTGTTCTTTATGTGAACGAGTACCAGTATTTTTACTAGTAACGGCAAAGTATGATTGTTTGTACTAGTATTTGTATTGATAATAGTAAAGTATGCTTATGGGTACGAGTACCAGTATTTTTACTAGTAACGGAAAAGTATGATTATGTGTACTAGTATTAGTATTTGTAAAGATAGCAGTAAAGTATAGTTATGTGTACGAGTCTCAGTACAGGTATTCATAACTGTAAAGTATGTTTATTTATACGAGTATCAGTATTTGTATTGGTATAGGTAAAGTAATTTTACGTGTATGAGTATCACTATTTGTATTCATACCAGTAAAGTGTGCTTAGTATCAGTATTGGTATTGACAAAGGTTAAACTTTTGTGTGTTTACGAGTATCATCATTATTATCAATACCGTTAAAATCATGGTAAACAAACATCCGGGTATATATGGTCATAACTAAATTAAATAACAAGTGCCATTTGGACTGAAAGAGAGAAACTGCTCTCTATTTTAGACTGCTAATCGGATTCTTTCGTTTGAAACTAGACAAAAATAAAAGCGGTGAGCATTCAGAACTCAGCTGGTGTGGGTCTTGCTAGGTGACAGTTGTTGTTACCAATAATATATTGCATTGTTGTCAAAATATACGTAGCTTTTCTAAGGCATACCGACAGAGTGTATTCATATATCTAAGTGAAATTCATTTGGATAAATAGTTTTATTTGCATATGCTTTGCTGAATAAGCATGTATGTATATATCGCCGCGTTCTTTACATAATCGTAGTCAATGAGCGAGCTTTTGGGATCGTAGAATCTGTCCTTCTTATACTTCGATAGGTGAGTCTCTCTCTCTCTCTCTCTCTCTCTCTCTCTCTCTCTCTCTCTCTCTCTCTCTCTCTCTCTCTCTCTCTCTCTCTCTCTCACCACGCACACACACGTGGATATCCTATATTTATCTTATATTGTTTAGCCTTTGAAATCTCCGCTGACGCTTGTCCTTGTGTACTATAAGCTTTGCTGTAAATCCAGTAGTGGTTTGTAAAATGTGTGCAGAAATGGATCAGTCAATAAATTCTGAGTATTTTAATTCTTTGATGCGCTATACCTGGTTGTACACCTTATTATTAAAGCGTGCCGATCACTGTGCCAGGCCGCAACACATAATTTATTTGCTATTCCATTAGGGTAATTTTAAGCTATCGTTCATTGTGTGTGTGTGTGTGTGTGTGTGTGTGTGTGTGTGTGTGTTATTTAGATTTTTAACGTAGCTTTAACAATATTTCAGCCAGATCGCTACGATGTCTGCAGTGTAACAGTTTATAGTGATGTCTAGCATTGGATCATTATGCCGCAAACATATGGCGACAGTTTATAATGATGTCTAGCGCTGGGTCATTATGCCGCAAACACGTGGCATGATGTCCCACCCAGTCACATTATCCTAACACCAGGCCGACCAGTCCTAACACTAACCTCTTAATGATGAGCGCCAAGCGAGGCTGCTGTTAGTACCATTTTTTAAAACCTTTGGTGTGACTCAGCCGTGGTTCGAACCCATGACCTCCCGTTTCCGAGGTGGATGCTCTAACCATTAAGCCACCGGAGCGGTTCATCGTTCATTGGAATGATGGAAGTGAAAATGCGATGCTACCAATAAGGCTGACACCAACTTTAAAATCTAAATATGCGGTGCAAGCCATTCCATTTGCTCAAATACGTGCCACCCCATCCACCAACACTCACGGTTCCACCAAAGCATTTTATTCACAAAACAGTGTGATTAATGCACGGGCTATTGCAGCAAAATAATAGTTTCATTCTGTAGAAAGGTAAGAATAAGAAACGAAAGTACAAGTACCGACGAAATTAATAATAAAAAAAGAAAAACTATGTCTCTATAACCATTCTTTATTGTTTCGCCTCTGTGTGCAATTATAAGAATCACCTTTTCGATGGCGTTGTTGATGCTGGCATGTGTCATAGTCGAAGTTTATATAATTCTCTCGTTTTTTCTGATACTTTTGCGTGTACAGTCGTGAAACATTATGAGTGTATTTATCGTAAACTGTACTGCCCGTAAAAGGCAAAATGAGGTCATACTGATGACCTACTTTTCACGCTGCAGTAACCTTGTTGGATACTGGAATATGTCTTATCTTGTGTAGCCTTTAAAATGACAGCGGGCGCTTGTCCTTGTGTGAATAAACTTTGTAAATGCGTGCAGCAGTGGATCAGTCGATAAAATCTCTTTTGTAATTCTATGATCTGCTTTACGTAGTTGTTCACCATTTTATTAAAGTGTGCCAAATACTGTGCCAAGCCGCAGTGTTAAAAGCGGAGAAACACGTTTATTTTCTTTTTTTTAATTCGATGATGTTCATTTATTGTAGTTGTTGTTGTTGTTGGGCTTAACGCCATTTTTCAGCACACGATAGGCTATTCATGGCGGCCAGTATTACTGGTGGAGGAAGAAACCGGGAAATCACCGGAAAGAACCACCGACCCACGAGAAGCTACTGGCAAGCTTTCTCACATATCCACATTTGCCGAATCCTAGACTCGAACCCATGCAGACAGAGGTGAGATGGCAGTGATCCGTAACGGACAGCGCTTTAGACCACTCGGCCACTCGCGGCCCCTTCATTTATTGTAGCTTGTTTCGAAAATATACTTTATTATTTAGCAAACAAAATTTTCCTTCTGCGCGATACTGACAAACGCAACAGTTAGACAAGTGTCACTTATCAGAAGGAGCCACTGAGATCTTCACTGTATCTTGTTTACTCGTCAACAGCGCTCACTGATCTTCCAGCCGTATGGACTAAGATCTACCGGCATATTATGCGATGGCAGATCTGAGTTGGTGTTGTTGTTGTAAGGTTTAATGTCATTTTTCAACACAATATAGGCTATAAATGGAGGCCAGTGGAGGAAGAATCCGGGCAAAACCCAGAAAGAACCTCCAATCCACGAGAGCTTTCCCATATAAGGGATCATTATAGGAATTGTATGAATATTCACTTACTCTAAAAGGAATCATTGTAGGAACTATAGGAATATTCATGCACTCTATAGGGAATCTCAGTAGGGATATTCATGCATTTTTATTAGAAATCAGAAAATCCAATTAAACGTTCTTATTATATTGTCCTGTATGAAAAGGATGACTGTTTGACACAAGCTGGGAATTTATATTGTTGTCACCAGTGTCTTTATAAATATATGAAAATGATATTCTATCTTGACACAAAATGATAGCTGTAAACTTTTCTCGTGTTGTTGCAGGGGTGCTCATTTTTGGAACTTCCTTCGCTAAGTTTACTATCATCTCTACAATAGTTTCATCTGAACACAAAATATGCAATTGTTCATTGTAAAGGAAATATTGTAAGCAAAATATGCTATTGGTTATTGTAAGATAAACAGAATAAGGAAATATGCTATTAGTTATTGAGAAAAAAAAACAGAGTAAGGAAAAATATTTACAAGTAGAGCTTAGATAATGAGCTAGCGCAGGACACACTTTTTATTGCAAACATCATAGACCTTGATAAACTAGCGTAAGTTTCTTACCTGTCAGTTTGATTTGGCTCCCTCTCCTCCAGTGACATCAATGTATTTTTAGTAGTAGTAGTAGTAGTAGTAGTAGTAGTAGTAGTAGTAGTAGTAATAGTAGTAGTAGTATGAGCATTATGTTTATTTCTTTATTATCTATTTTGGACTTTCGATCTTTTACATTGTATAGCTTCATGTGTTCCTACATTTTATAGGTTTTCCGAATTATTTGCCGTTTTTGCATCTTGCATATTTGTATTTCACATTCTATATTTTATCATGTAGAACTTCGTGTCTGATTGGTTGGATACATACATACATACATACATACATACATACATACATACATACATACATACATACATACATACATACATACATACATACATGCATATAAAGAATACAAATCATATGGCGAATAACAACCTTTTCAAGCGCACTGGGTCCACCAAGGGATCACGTGTGTCAGGGATTGATTAAAATAGATGCAATAAACTGACGACGACAAGTGCGAAACTAGTAACTAACTAGCATGCGCGCTTTCGACTCTTAACGAGTCTTTTTCAAAGGCAAATACCAAACATATATACGACAAACAAATAAACACAAAAACGTTGTGTTTGTAAACCTCTACATGGCTGTCTCTAGAGGTTTACAAACACAACGTTTTTGTGTTTATTTGTTTGTCGTATATATGTTTTATATTTGCCTTTGAAAAAGACTCATTAAGAGTCGAAAGCGCTCAGGCTAGTTAGTTACTAGTTTCGCACTGTTCGTCGTCAGTTTATTGCATATATATATATACATATATATATATATATATATATATATATATATATATATATATATATATATATATATATATATATATATATATATATATATATAAGCTTGTATTTACATTTTAGAGTATTATCTTTAATCGGTGTCCTATAGCCATTGTGTTGAGGTGTCGTTTGACCCTGGTACATGCATCCATACATACATACATACATACATACATACATACATACATACATACATACATACATACATACATACATACATACATACATACATACATACATACATACATACATACATACATACATACATACATACATACATACATACATACATACATACATACATACATACCACCATTTGTCAATATTACATTATCTAAGTTAGTTCTTTATATTTGTGGTGATGATTGAATTCCCATTTTGATTATATCGAACTAACTGGGAATCCTACACCAATCAATACCTAGGTCGTGACTTACGTCATTGTCATGTGTGTGTGTGTGTGTGTGTGTGTGTGTGTGTGTGTGTGTGTGTGTGTTTTGGGGGAAGGGGAGTGTTAAATCCATTAATCTGTTGTGTTGGAAATATGATATTGTTGAGAGTAAAGCTATAGTCCATGGTTCGATAAAACAAGATGGACTGAACCTAACAAAAGTCCGTAATTGTTTTACTACTTTCAGATATTGAACTAAACATATCGCCACGTGAACACAGTAGGTCCTACTTTATCTTGCGTACCTGAAATCACTTCGAGGAAACCAAGCCATCGTTTTACTGCTGAACGAGTGTGACCTTTCACAATAAAGAAAAAAAATATGAAAGTGATGCTACACGTTAATCAGCGTTTGATGATTTAAATACAATGTTTTATTGAACTATGGTAGAGTGAGTTTCTTACCTTAATCTAAAACTACACCACGCAAACAAAATGATGCTTTGGGGATTTAGATGACTGTTATGAAAATCAATACATTGTAGGTAATGATATGGATATATGTATTTTGTGAATGGTAGACACAATAGAGTTTATTATTTAAGGTGGGCTGTACTCCTTGAAAATTGTTATTAGTGATGTACCGTGGTGATCCATTCTCATTTACGAATTTTTTTTCAAATGTTAATTCCGGTGCAAGATATTTTCATATCATATGAAAATTTGCCGAAATATCAAGGAAAAGACCCAGAAAGATCATGCAACATGATTAATTCTCTTATCGATGACATTAACTATAAAATTCATTGAAAGCAAATATTTAGTTTGAAAACTCACAAATATTTCAAATACAGCTACTCAGTGGATTTATTTTTAAAATAAAAGAATTGCCTGAGAACAAGCAGACATGTGAGTTCTTTGAACTAATGATCTGCAACATACAACCGCATTAATTCCACCCGCCATGTCAACCATGAACCACATTAATTCAACCCGCCACGTCAACCATGAACCGCATTAATTCAACCCGCCACGTCAACCACGAGCCGCATTAATTCAATTCGCCACGTCAACCACGAGCCGCATTAATTCAACTGCCACGTCACCTACGAGCCGGATTAATAAAGTCAGCAAAGACAACCAAGAATTTCATTAATTCAATCCACAACGTAAACCACGAACCGCATTAATAAAGTCAGCAAAGTCAACCAAGGACCACGTTAACTCAATCCGGAAAGTCAACCACGAACCGCGTTAATATAGTTGCAAAGGCAACCACTAAGTGCATTAATACAGTAAAAAGAAATCAACCGAAGAATATGACTGATTTGTAGATACTATTCCAACTTTGGGAACATAAGAATACTTTTTAAAAAGATAATATTAGTTCATGCAAATCCTCTTTGTGACAGGTTTTATATACGGTTCACCAGTTTGGAATCCAAGACATAAACAAATTTTTTAAAGATATAAGCGACTTACCAGGTATTATATCTCAAATTATATTGTGAAGCAATAAAAATGGTACCTCTAGAACGTTGTTGGTGTAAACAAATACGACTGAAAAATTCTTGTTTGGTTTTTATAGATAACAATTTTATATTTATCAGCGTTACTTCTCCGCCAACATTCATGAAAACTATTAAAGCAATTGCAAAAACCGAAATCAGACGAAACTCTTTTTTTTTCTTATTGAGTGATTTGGTAGAATATGTTACAATTTGAGATACCTGCCACTGAAGAGGGATTCATCAGCCAAGTATTCCAAGTGTTCGAAGTGGATGGGACGAAGCCAACAATGCATTATACGAATTTTGCTCGAGTTTGTTGGTT